CGGATTTTCTTCTTCAGTTGCCGTTTGACGTCTGCTTGAATTACTTCGGATTAATTTATTGGACGTCGTACTTTTTACATTATTTTATATTTTTGTTTGTGTAGCAATTTTTCAATGAAGTATTTTATTCCTCTGTAATGCAATTATTAACGAGTATATTCATATATCTTATACTTGATTTTTTTATAGAGAAAATATACTAATTACACTAGTTATTCGAGTCTGTAATATATCAAAATTATTTGCATTTATCTATAATTTTACTAATATTTGAATAAAATAAATTTTTATCATTTCATAAAATAGCATTAAGCTATGAATATATCTGAAGAACATCTTAACATTACGATAGATGAAAATGAAGTTATTGCTGGTGCCAAAAATGTTGTAGAGAGAATTAGACCATCTTGGCCTCTGCAACAATTGCTTTTCAAGGTAATAGCAGTAATATCCAATATTTTTTAGAAACAGATATAATAGTGAGAATAATTTAATCGAACATACCTCTTATTTCTTTGGTTCGAGAAAATTAGGTCGTGTAGCTGTTTACAATGTTTTGTTATCAGTTCTTCTAATTTATCTACAGATAACTATTTTATCTTTATATAAAACTTCATTTATCTCTTTATATAAAAAAGATATATGTGGCCCGATAGCCAAACCTGAAAAAACAGATTATGCGCAAAGTCTATTATAAATTTCTGATGCTAGAAAGACAACAGATTGCTAACAGATTCTGTAATATCTGACAATATTGGCAAACCGCTGCCAGAAATCTGACAAAATCTGTTGGTATTCTATGCTAGCAGATTGGCAGAAATCGAGCAGATCCTGCTGCAGGCTACTATCAGATTGGTGACAGAAAGCGAGCAGAATCTGCGCGATACAATTTGATGGCAAGATCTGCTCAATTTCTGCTGATACAGAATGTCAACAATTTCTGCTGCCAGTCTGTCAAACAGAATGTAAGCAGAATGGGACTTCAGATGAAGTCAGTCTGCTAACATTTTCTGATTAAATCTGTTGCCAGTTTGTCGACATTCTGCTAACAGTTTGCTGACTGCTGGGTGGATATAAACATGAGAATCCAACCAAATTAATTTTATTTTTTCTTAATAATAAAGAATATAGATGTAAATTTGTATGATTATAAACTTTAATACAAGTAAAGAATATTTAAATAGAAGTAATATTATTATTTCATTTTTTTTTAGGTATTTACTGATGGGAGAACGAATAAATTGGTAGGAGTATGGTACCCGGAACATTATAAAGATATGGTTTTGATTAGAATTTATGGCAATAATTCGGACTTATTAATTGACAGAAAAAGTGAGATAAAAAATATTCGGGTAAAAATTTTATCAGTTTTGTACGATAATATTCGTACTAATATTATTTATTTATTCAATATTAAATTAATTTAGCTGTGATAATCTCTGTGTGTATATATATATGCAAGCTTACATACATGCATGCGCATATATATTTAGTAATAGCGTAAATATTTTTAGTAATAGTAATATAAATATTTTTATAGATATTGAACAAGGCTGGCTATACTCATTGTATTTATGCTACATTTAACAATGGATTTGCGTATGAATTCCTAGAAGGTGAAACTTTAACCACTGAAACAGTAAGAAGTCCAAAAGTATATCCATTAATCGCAAAACGCATGGCCGAAATGCATATGATCGAGTTTGAACATGAGGCTGTATCAAAAGAAGCTTTTATTTGGAAAAAAACGAAGAATTTTATGCAAATTATGCCCAAAAGATTTTCCGATTCCCTCAAGCAAGCAAAGTAAGCAATAGATCATCCTAAACAGTAACTGAAATATATTCATAAACGATTCAGTTCTTGTAACGGCATTTACTTTAGGTTTGAAACATTGATACCGTCATATACAACGTTAGAGGAAGAATATCAGATATTGAAAAATACGCTTTCCAAAGTGAATAGTCCTATAGTATTTGCTCACAATGATCTTCTATTAGGAAATGTACTGTATAATAAAAAACAAGAGAGTGTCGTATTTATCGATTATGAGTACACTGCATTCAATTATCAAGCATTTGATATAGTTAATCATTTTACGGAATTTGCCGGTAATTACATTTCTTCAAAATATTTGTTTCCACGTTTGTTTCTAGTCAAAATAAAAATGATAGATATTAGAGTGCAAAAAATATATGTGTTTAAAATATATTTAATATATTTTAAATAAATTAAATATATTTTAAAATATATATATTCTATTCATGATAAAAACCTTAGTAGCAACATGTATTATCACTGTTAGATTAAAGTTTCAAACATATTGCATTTAAGGTTTTGACAATCCGGATTATTCTTTATATCCGGATGAAAATTTTCAAAAACTATGGTTGAAAGAATATTTACAAACATATAACGCAACATCTAATGTATCTGAAAAAGATGTTGACAAATTATATTGGCAAGTTACTAAATTTACTCCTATGCCACATTTTCTTTGGGGTTGTTGGGCCCTTATCCAAAGCGAACATTCGCATATCGAGTTTGATTTTTTAGCGTAAGTCATATTATTGTATATTCAAGACAATATTTACAAAAACAAATCTAGTGATATCGATAAACTAACAGCAAAAGTATTCGATATGAACTATTTTTCATATAATAGAATTATTAGAAAATAGAAATATATTGATCAAATTATTACAAAAAATTCTTACATAATTTTCCAGATATGCTGCAATACGTTTCAACGAATATTTCAGATGGAAAAAAAATCTTTGAAGCTGAAAACAAAATACGAAAACTAAAGCAATAGCATAAAAATATATGGCATTTTTTAAACATTCATTCCAATT